CTGTAATCCCAGCAACTGGGGAGGCAAAGACAGGATGATTGAATCCCTTTCTCTAAATTAAAAAAATACAAAAAGAGCTGGGAATGTGACTCAGGGGTTGAGTGTCCCTGGGTTCAATCCTCAGTACTAAAAAAAAGAAAGAAAAAGAAAAAGCCAATTTCTTTCCACAAGAGGTAAAGGCAACCTTCTCAACATTTGACACCCCTCCACTTTCTGAACATTTTGACCCTGGGGCTCCCATTCCAGAGCTCACAGGTCCCCTGCCAGTTCACCTCGTTGCAGTATGGCGGCACATTGAGGACAAAAAGGGTGCGCTTCTGAGGCCATGCAGACTGGGTGCCTTCTCGAACTCTGTGTTCTCTCACATAAAGGTAATGAGAAGCTCGCTGCTTTGCTGAGAACTTGATCGGAATGGCTGGAAGGGAAACGGTGGCATGGGAGTCAGGGTCAGGCTACCGTGAGTGCAGGTGAGCACCTAAGCCACCCAATTCCCTTTCTCCACGACCCTTCCTAGTGCATCGCGCATTCTTCCTTCAGTGAGCCCAACCTCTCGGCCGAGCCTCACCACCTCTGAGCGTGAGCACACACATCCGCAGAAGGGGGACTCCCAAGGGGGTGGAGGAGAGAACTCATCTGGCAGTTACACGGGGGCGCATGAGAGGGGGGCTTCAACTCTGCTGCTGTTGGGGTCAACACCCAAATCCTTCTGGAAGCTGTGTGTCCGGCCTCCACGGTGTCTCTTTTCACCCTACCCTCCCCGACCCCGACTCTCGGTTCCCCAACAAGCCCGGCTCACACCTGCTCTCTCTGCCTGCGCACCAAACCTCGTCCCTGCACCCACTCTTCAGGTTCTGGCTCAAACTTCCCTTTCTCAAGGGAGCCGCACCCTCGCCCGGCCTCCGACCGGCTGAGGTCCACCTGCTGTGGATCTAGTCCGAGGGCCTTTATCGGCGCGACTCCCTAAGGGCCACCTTCGCGAAGCTAGGGGGCCGCTCACTTTGGGGACGCACGCGGCCCCGGGGCAGGAGGCTGGGGAGCAAGAAAGCAGACAGCAATCTTGTATCGGCTAAGAAGGAAGCACTCCGGGCGAAGGGAGGCAGGCAGTTTCCTCGCACAGGCCTTCAGAGACGGCTCTGTGAGGAAGGCTCTCGCCAAGTGGGCTGACCCGGGAGAAGGGCGCCGCGTGGGTCCCGAGGAGCCGGGGGCTTCTCGACTTGCCGGGGCCCAACCAAGCGGCCGCTCCCGGGGCTCCCGGGACACCTCCCAGCAAAGCCTTTCCGTCTCCCAACCTCGCGTCCCCGAGCCGCTCACCGTAGTAGCCGGGTGGGCTCGGAACGCCCGCCTCAAGGTCCCCAGCCACACGCTTTCTCCTACGCGCCACCATCTTGCCAACCGGAAACGCAGGGCTTGCTGGGAACTGTAGTTCCGCGCGCGAGCGCGTTTCCATGACGACGGCGCCGCGAGGGCCCCGCCCTCTCGGTCCCAGCCCTGCCTTCCTGGCCCCTCCCGCCCCGCCCCAGGCGCAACCCTAATAAGCTCAAGTAAGGGAGAACCTGGACCAGGGCTGTTCAGGGTTGCGAACCGGGAAGAGCTTTCCTTCCTTCCCCCTTTCCTCCCTCCTACCCTGTCTGCCTTTCTCCCTTCCTCCCTCCCTCCCTCCTTCCTACCCCAAAGTACCAAGCGTTAGAAATACAAAGGCGAAGCCGGGCGGGGTGGCGCGCGCCCCAAATCCCAGTGTCTCTGGAGGCTGAGGCAGGAGGATCACTAGTTCAAAGCAACCTTAGCAAAGGTGAGGCCCTCAGCAACTCAGTAATACTCTCTCTAAATAAAATACAAAATAGGGCTGGGGATGTGGCTGAGTGGTTGAGTGCCCCTGAGTTAAATCCCTGGTACCAAAAGAAAGAAAGAAGGAAAGAAATACAAAGGTGAAGCAATATCCA